TGTTTAAGATATACTGGCCTTTTAACAGTAGGAATGTAGAAGTTAGACCAAAGCATCAAAATCACATTGAACTCCATTACATTTTTCAAGGCATTTAATTTGTAAAGGAATATTGGATTAAGAAACAAAAAAAATGATACACAAAATGCCTGTACCAATTGTATTTATTGCTAGAAACTTTAAACTTTTTAAAAAAGTTTTTGAAAGGTAGATAACATAGAAAAAGACATCCATAAAGGTAGGAAGCAATCTCATCATTACAAAGTGCTGCAAATTTGATAAATTTATGTTGCTGATAATAACTCAGAAGTACTCTTGGATGAATAGATATAAATCCTTGAAATATCCAAAGCAAGACAAAAAAGAATAGGACACCTAAATGGATATAAACACACCAAAATACGAATTGAGCTTTTGGCAAATTAGTCATTAAGTCATTAACTTTAAGCAAACAAGTTTTCAGTAAATTGGTTTTAAGAAATCTAGCTTTAGGTGAACTAGTTTCAGGCAAACTGACTAGTACCAAATCAGTGTTTTGCTCCCTCCAGTTCCCCCCAACTGTAGTTTTGGGATTGTGATGGATGCAATCCAGGACCCCTCTGAGAGGTGGCAAGTGAGATTCTACTAGGAAACCAAGTGTACAAGTGACCTGAGAGTAAGACAGAGTGTGTGTGTGTGTGCGCGCACGCACATGAACACAAGCACACATGCATACGCTGGGCTGTATGGCTCAGTGCACCTAAACTTGGGAGTGTAGCTAAGCTGAAGCTTCCTAGACATCCTCCCAACAAGCTCCACACCCACACAGACCTGCTTATTACCTACCATAGCCAAGGAGAAGAGCAACCACGTACAAGCACCTACCTAGCCTCCCCAGACCCACGTGAGTCCCTGAGAAACAGGGAATACAGGCAGCAACCCCACTCAGAGCTGGTCCCCATTCTCAGCAGACAGATAAGGAGCTCTCCTAGTCCTTAGAAGAAGGCCAATAAATAACTCATTAATGAGGTCCAGAGTTTCTACTTCTTCATCCAGATATAGGTGCGGGACCCCATATCTGACACTATGTGTCACAAAAAAGTGAGGAGCTTAAATTTGGTTGCCTAGCAGGAACTCACCACCCTAGACTTGCTGCCTCTCAGGGGGATCCCATCCTGCATCAACCACAACCCCAAAACTCTGGGGTTTGGGGGAGCTGGAGGGAGAATTACACTTTGATTTGGTTCTAGTTAGTTTAGCTGAAACTAGTTGATTTAAAGCTAGGTCCTCTACTCGTGGAATCTGGGACCAGAACATTATGTGACTCCTGCACAATCATATACTAGGCCAGACACAGTGGCTTACGCCTGTAATCCCAGCACTTTGGGAGGCCAAGGTGGGAGGATCACTTGAGCCCAGGAGTTCAAGACTAGCCTGGGCAACATGGTGAGATCTCATCTCTAAAACAAACAAAATATATATACTGAAGATACAGAATCAGATGTTCAGAAAGTACTGGAACCCTCCTGTGTGTGCCTAAGCTCAGGATGCACACATGGGAAAAAGGCCAGTCACCCCCACCCTGGTAAATATAAGGTTTCTCTTCCACAATCCATTTGGAATGTCATGATCTTTGGGTCTCCAGTCCTTGGGGTCCTCCCCAGAGGACTCTCTTGCCAGGCCTGTAGAGTGCATTATTTGCCTTGGCTGGCCTCAGAGGGGCCCACTGGCCAGAGCAGTTTGTCAGTGGTGGTGACAGCAGCAGCAGTGATTGCAGCTCAGATATAGTTGGCAGGGGCTTGTCGGGCATTGAGCCGCTGCACGTGGCAGCCATGGCAAAGCAGGTGCCCATCCAGAGGGAAACAGCAGCAGCCTTCCTCATCACTCAGCTGCATCCGGCAGTCCTAGGGAAGAAGGCACCTAGTTCACCTCAGCCCAGGCACCTTGGATACTGAGGGCATCTTAGGAGTCTGTCCTGCTCAACACCTGACTCCTAATAACTGGAAGAAAGGGATGGGGTGGGAAGGGCAGGATGGAAGGGATGGAAGAGCAATCTGAGAAAATATTAATACCTCAGCTGGACACCAGGTGTCGCTGCTGCAGCAGAAATAACGACACTAGTCTGTCTGTACAGCAGTTTGACCAGACTCGCTACTCTTAGAAAGTCCTGACTCTGGGAGAGTCAGATTCAGAAAGGACTAAGCAACTTGGACCAGAGAAAGTGGCTGGAGGGGACAAAAAAAAAGACTGAAGATAGGTCACAGTATCTTTCTGGTTTCCCATGCCCTACACCTCTCCCATAGATGTCTGGTTGTTGCAGGACTTGACTCCTACCCTCTTCCCATTTCCACTTCTTCTCCAGCACCGCTGAACCCCAACACTCACCTCACAGTGGTAGCACTCAAAGTGATAATCTCGGTCCATGGATATCACTCTCACGATGTCCTCACAGCCCTGAAACATGCAGACCCCCATGGAGATGAGAGCAGCATGTTGCTTCACCTCCACCTCCCTCATATATAACCCTTCCCACCCCATGGGAAGATCATACAAATGGCCCCAGAGTCTCTCTGCGATTGCAGTAGTTTTAAGATGCCTCTGCAAATCCTACCAGAACTCTCCTTATCTCCTTCACTGGGCTGCCCCCATGTAGCACACTCCCTCTGTACAAGAGCCCTGGCCTTACCTGCGTCTCCCAGTTGTGGGGGAAGGAAAGGGGCAGGAGGCATAAATAAAGTAGGCTAGGCTGGGAACAAGGGAATCCAATAAGATCTGGCTTCTCTCCGTAGGTACATCCTCTACACACAGCTTAAATCATTTCTGACCCATTCCTACCAGTGCTGAGGATTCTTCCCACCTTTTTCCAGCCCCTACATCTGCAGTCTGGTGACCTCAACCTCAAAGAAAGTCTCCTCCTCTGGACTGGGATAGAAGAGATGGAGCCTGGGCCCAGTTAGGCTTTCAGACATGTCCAGGCCCGGATGTTAGGGTCAGGGTGGTGACCCTAAGAGGCAGAGTCACACGGGAATCTTCACAGAGTACATTCCTTGGCATTATCGCTTCCGGCAGGAGGCCAGGCAGCATGTCCCTAACCCTACGCCAGAGGCAGTGGCACTGGCTGCCCTGAAGGAGAACCCAGACATACTGACCTCAGAGGGGAGGATGGGTTGGCCACAGGCTGCACACTTAGGAGCATAATTTCTGAAAGACAGAGGGAAGAGATGAGCTGAGGTTGGGGAATCCCTGGACCCAGTTCCACACTGCATCCCGAGGGGTGGACTCACTTGTGGTAGTCGGTGACACAGTATACTTGGTTGGAGAAGTCCACTGTGAAGGGGATGCCATCCAGGCACTTGTTGCAAACAATGCATCGGAAACAGCCTGGGTGATAGGACTTCCCCATTGCTTGTAGGATCTGGCTCATGGGGTAGCAAGAGAATCAGTCTCCCTCCAGTCTCAGTTCTCCAGCTGCCCATTATGCCCCTTGTTACTCCCATTAACCTCATCCAACCCGCTGCTATACTACTAGACACAATGCTATGTAATGTGGGGGAAGAAGTCTTAAAATGGAGGCAGAAACCCTGAAAAATGCCTGAGAGAGCATATTCAGACCAGTAGAGTTTAACTCTGGCTGCATATCAGGATCATCGAGGGAGCTTTTAAAAAACATCAGTGCTTTGGCCTCCTCCAGGCCTATCATCACAATCTCTGGTGATGGGATCCAAACACTGTTTTTTTGTTTTTTGTTTTTTGTTTTAGTTCTTCCCAGCTGATCTGCTAGGCTACCATGATTGATAATCACTGATTTAATCCTATCTCTCCTTTTTATAGAAAATAAAACTGAGTCCCAGGTGATCCTAACCAGTAGCAGAAAGGGGATTAAGACTCAGGACCCCAGGCTGGGCACGGTGGCTCATGCGTGTCATCTAGCACTTTGGGAGGCTGAGGCAGGAGGATCACTTGAGGCCAGGAATTTGAGACCAGCCTGGCCAACATGGCAAAACTCGTCTCTACTAAACATATAAAAATTAGCCACGCATGGTGGCGCACACCTGTAGTCCTAGCTTGGGAGGCTGAGGCACTAGAATCACTTGAACCTGGGAGGCAGAGGTTGCAGTGAGCCAAGATCATGCCACTATGTCAGAGCGAGACTCTGTCTCAAATAAATAAAAATAAATAAATAAAAAGACTCAGGACCCCACACTCCTAGCTCAGGCTGGAAGGCCTGGCTATGCCTGCAGAATTAGGAAGGGGCCAGGTTACAGAAGCCTGGGTTGACAGGCTTTTGAGCCCAGACTTGATTCCATAGGCAGAGGGATGCCACTGTAAACAGCTGCTCTGGGGAGGAATGGGATGAAAGTGATTCATCTGTGACAGGCTTCTTCCCCCAGCCTTCTCTCAGTATCCATTTAGTCCCTGATTCCACCCCTCAGCCTCACAGTGAGAGTTCTCAGCTGAAGGCACTTTACTTACCTTCTCCAAAATCAAGTGGCCACAGACACAGCATTTCTCAGCTGCCTCCTGAAACCCTGAAAACTAAAGTCAAAGACAAGACAAAGGGAGGCTGTTATCAAACTGAGAATGATGGGTGGTACTCCAATGGGCCACCAAGAAGGGGGTCAGTATGGAAACCAATTCCAGGTCCAGGTGACCCTTACTCACCAGATAATCTTCCTCACAGTACACAGAGCCGTTGACACTGTAGAAAGCCTTGCAACGCAAAGTTCGCCCTAGAAACAGCAGAAAAGGGGCTGGAACCTATCCCACAGCCCAGGTGCAAGACTTGTGGGGTCACTGCTCCCCAGTGCTGCATAATATATTTAAACCTGGACTTTGTACTTTTCCTCCTAACTGCTGTCTGTCCTTCTTCCCCACACAAAAATTCCATCTGATGCAATTCTAATTTGCTTTGGCTTCATTCCAGCCAACTTCCCCTCTCTTCTGCTTGCTGCTCCTCCAGCTCCTGCCTCCTTAACAGTTTTCTAGGGCCCTCCCCTAAACAAACTGCCTTCCTCTCCAGTGCACAGGAAGCCACCTGGGAGAGTAAAGCCAACTACATGCTGGAATACATGAGCTCTTAATAAGGTACTATATGATTTGCATAGAGAGAATCACATTGTTACAGGCCTTGCCCTCTGGGACCCTTCAACCTAGAAGCCTCTTCACCTGAGCATATCTAGCCTGCTCTCAAAGGCCTATCTGTCTCCTTCCAGGGACAGACTCTATGGAGGTCAGGACTGGAGTTACTGCAGGACAAAGTGCTTTGTTTGGAAGCAAAGCAGGTCCCCTTTCCTGTTTGTTTAAGGCTGCTTCCCTAAGCTTAGAGGGACCCAGAGTCTCTAGGGTAAGAGACAACCCAGGATCTTCTTCTAGCAGACAAGGCAGGACCATTCCCCATGTGACCAACCCCCAGGACTGCTCCCAGGTGTCTACATTATCAGGGATAGGGGAGGAGTGAGAACAGGTGGAGCATGAGCAATTTTCCCACCTTTGCCTTCTTCCCCTCAAAATCCCCACTTCCAATTCTGTCCAGTGGGTTAGGAAAGCTGACTTAGAAGCTCATGAGACACAGGGGAGGAAAGAGAGGGAAAGAGATATAGCCAGAAGAGGCCCTGTAAACAGAAGGATAGACAGACAGATGAGCCTAAAGAGAAACAGGCAGAAACTGGGGGAGTGAGAAAAGCTGAGTGCTGAAGTCAGACAGGCAGAGATAGGAGATTAAAGGTTTAGCAAAGGAATCAGAATGGGTAAGCAGTGAGGAGGGGGTAATGAGGGAGGGGAGGGGGGCAGTTAAGGCCGCTGGGAGCATCCCCCCTTTCCAAGTGGGCCTCCTGAGCTAACAGTGGCAGGCATTCCTGGAGCGTGATGTCATCAGCTTGGCATGGCCCGGTGGCCTGCACTCTAGTGAGGTGGCTGAACTCTGACCAGCCAAGAGAAAACCCCCCTCTCCGCCCCCAGCAGCTCCCCACTCCCCCAGCCTGCCCCCACCCTCCCCACATTCCAATCTTTCACTGTCGCCCCAGGCAACTTGGCTGCCCAAGACCAAGCCCCACCAAGAAGCTGGAGGGCCAGGCGAGTCCAGGATGGGCAAGCAGGGAGGCACGAGAAGGAGAAACAGAGGTAAGGAAGGAAGGAGGGACTCCAGAAAGGAGACCCACCAGGGGGAGGGAGAGCCAAGTAGAGGGCAGACAAGGAAGCAAGAGAGGTGGAGCAGCTGTGGACCTCCAGACACTTGGTGGGGATCCAACAGCTGCTCTGTGAGCAAATGAAGAGGCAAAAGCTCTCCTCCTGTTCCCTATAGCACTTGTGTGTATGTGGGCAGGGGAGGGGAGTGCTTGAGTGTTGGGGCTACACTCACCACAAGAGCAGCAGACAAAGCACTGGGTGTGGTAGAGGCTGTCCAGGGCCTGGCAAGCATTGCTCTGCCCATAGATGCCTTTGTTGCACTTGATACAGGTGCCTGAGAAGAGAAAAGAGTGTCACACTCTACTCCCCCAGGTCAAAACCAGGGATTCCCAAGCTTTCCTGACTGCCCTTTCCTGATATGCCAGGGGTCACAGTCTCCCTTTGATGGGCTCCCTTCTGAGAAGAGAAGAGAAGAAGTAATGACATGTAGCAAGATCTTGGTTGAGCAGATCCATTCTTGTTTAATTACTCAACAGATATTTTCTGAGTATCTATTTTGTGCTTAACGCAGCACCACTACCTGAGGAAACCTGGAGAAGGTCAGAGATATGGTCCCTGACATTCAGATGCTTAGTTTCTGTTGGGGAGAAAAGATTATACAGGCAAGGTATGATCTCTGTTGCAGTGTGTAGGATGAATGGTCAAAGATGCCGGTCCACAGGTGCTCAGCAGCAGACTTGAAAAAACTTTCTAGAGAAAGCAGGCTAGGCCCAGAAAGCCTCTCTGGGACTTAAGTTTCCCATCAGTCAAACGAGCTGTTCAGTTATAGAATGATTTCTCTCTGCTGCAGACTTCTAAGGATGGAGAAAGGATCTGGCTCAGCAGAGGGCTCTGTGCAGAGGGGACCATGTGAGCATGACTCCTGTGGGGAGGTGACTGCTGAGAATGTAGGGTGTGTTCCAGGAACCAGGGTTGAACAGGAAAGCAGGGAGAGTAGCAGAGCCCCTGATGCCTCCTAGTCACCTTCTATCTTGGGAAGAACACAGAACTGAACTGCTTGCTATTCTCCAAAGTCCCCCGCTAAGATATATACACCTGGCTCTGGGACTCGCCTTTCCTGGGTGTGTTCTTCCCTCCCTCCACTCCCCAATTCCAGGCCCATGAGTGAGGGCTAGGGCCTGTCTTTGGGGAGCAGATCCCAACGGGCCCGCCCCACCTCTCCCCCTCGGCAGGCTGCCACACTCCCTGCCTGTTGGGGCCCATCCCAGTCTTTGCCCAGGGGCTTGGGAGCCTGTGCAGCAGCTGCAGCAACTGATGGGCCCAGACCTGTCCTGCTCCCACCCTCTGGCAGCTGGGCAAGGCTGAAGCCAAGGAAGAGGGCCCCTACTAGGGGCAGGAGGAGGGTACAGTCAAGCTGGGGCTGGCGGCACAAGGGGTATGTAGGGGTTGTCAAAGGAGGCAATCTCACTCCCAGGGAGAAGGGGCCCCCATCTCTGAATTCAAAATGTGGCTTCCTCATGGAAGTGAAGATCTGCCCCAATATTGCCATGCCAGGGGGTCCCATCAGAGCCGTTCTTTAGAAAACCTTGGACATTATGGGAAGAGCAAATGAAACTGCTCAGGCATGTTGGCCTTACCTCATCTAACCCAGCATATCTACACCTATGTTCTTCCTGCTCTTTTATTGCAGTTTCTCTGAGTTCCTTTCTTCCTTTTGGCTCTGATGGTTCAGCCAAAAAGACTTCTTTACTAGCCACCTCTCCTGGGCCTCAAAACAAAACTGCTAAATGGGCCCTGTCATTCAGTCTTCCTTGATCAAAGCGGTTTGGCATCATCTCCCCTGGGCTTTCCTCTCGGTGGATTTGGAAGTGGGGAAAAGAATGGGGGTGGAGGTTGGGGGTTGAGTTATGCAGCGCCCTTGTGGCCTGCCGCCCTGCTACCTCTGAACCTCCTACCCAACCATCCCTCCCTGGCCGCGTTCCTCTTCCTATTCACTTTTCCAGCCATAGAGTTCTACAGCATGGGGTCCAGGAGTGGGGCATGAGTGGTGAGAAGAGATGCTTGGAAAAGTGAAAGAGGCCCACAGCCCTCAGGGGGTAAGCCTGCCACTTCTTTCCAATCACAGTCATATTCGAAGTTTTTTAGGTGTGTAGTAGAGCCTGTGAATTGTGACTAAAAGATCTTTCAAGGCCCTGATGTTCCTCATAGCTGAAACATATAATCAATCAATACTTTTGGAACAGAGTAGGGGAGGGAGCCAGCGACCAGGTTTCCTCGACAGCGTCAGGAAGTAAGGCGCTACTTCTAGCCGGAATTCTGAGAGGTTATAACCAGAATTCAAGATCAGGTTCTTTCTGGCAATAACACAGGGTCGTTATCCATCCAGAGGTAATGGTGTCCCAGCAGTCATCGCTTTTGCCCTGACTTCCGGAGGATGGGGAAAATAGAGGCTGGTACTACTGGGTCTCTGATTAAATGCCCACGCACGCACCTAGCCAACAGGACTGGGGAGGGACAGCGGTTAGGTCCCAGGACGCTCCATCCCGCCTCCCAGGCTCCATTTCCCCGACAGCCGCCACTACTCTTGTGTGTGCTAGGGAGCGCCCCCCATCCCCGAACCCCACCCCTCCGCCCGTGGCACCTGGAGCGCCCGGGCAGGAGTCGGCACGCACGCGGCCCGCCTGCCCCGCCCCCCCACCCGCGCATTCTCCGAATTCCTGCGGGCGGAGCCTGGGCCCGGGTGGGGGCGCGGCGCGCACAGACCTCCAGGGGCACCGCCGTGAAGGGGGGAGCAGCTTGGGGGGGATGCGCCCTCACTGCCCCACTTGGTCCTTTCCCTACGAGGCCTCCTGCCGCGAAAAACCGAGCTTCAAATGCTTGAGAAACAGACTCACGCGATACCAGGAGGGTTGAATTTAGCAGAAATAAGGAGCCCTGGTTCATCTGAACACTAGCAGGAAGGGGACAGTGCTCTGGGGCCGCCCCCATCCATCCCTCTTGTTTCTTTCCTAGTCCCGCGTCTTCACTTCGGACCCCGGGGCGCCGGCACTTTGGGCCGTCGGGGCAGTGGAGAACCGAATGCCGTGACGGGTCCCTTCCCGTCCCTAACCACTTCCCTCACTCACCGAAGTAGTCCTCCCTGGCCTCCGACTCCCGCATCCTGGCCCGGGCGGCCTCCGGAACGAAAGGACCTGGCGGCTCCTCCAGACCCGACGGCTCAATCCCCGAGGGTTCTCCGCGGGCGCCGGGTTCTCGCCCACCGGTGCCCACCGTCAGGCGAAGCAACGCTGTCAGCTCGTCCTGGTACCGGGCGCCCACGGCGCAGTCCCCGTAGCCGGTCACAGAGTGTCGTCCGGGTTGCGCCCCCCGTCTCTCCAAAGGCCCCGCCGCTCCCACTCCGGCCCCGGCTAGAGCTCCAGGGCTGCCCAGGGCCGGGGGATACGAGTGGCGGCTTTCCTGGCAGCCGAACCCCGCGGGCCGCTGAGCGTACAGTCGGTCCAGGGCGGCATGGAGCTCCGGATAGGCGGACGGGACCCCTCCGGGAGAATAGCCTGCCGGCGCTCCGGCCAGCGGTGGGCCAAACAGGCACGGCCCCGCTGGCAAGGGGCTCCCGTGGCGCTGGTCGTAGCCCATGCTGATGCCGCTGGTGCGATTGCTGCAAGGCCGGCTACCTCCGGCTCCGCCAGCCCCCGCCCCGTCCAGCAGCAGGCTGCCCCGGGGGCTGGACGGCTTGCTAGCGTCGCTGGCCGAGCTACTGGCGAAGCTGGAGCGGGGGCTCAGGGCCGGGGCCGTGGCCTCCAGCCGAAAATCGGGGGACAACGACTGAGGTAGAGGCAAGGCCCGGGTGGGCGGCGGCCCCCCGGGAAAGGAGCCTTCGTAGCGCGGTGCCTCAAAGGAGCCGCGCTGACTCCGCTCAGCGTCCAGGGAACCTTGCTCCCGGGCCGGCTCTAGCGGCTCGTCCCCAGGTCCCCCAGCAGCTCCTCGGGGCCCTGACTTCCTAGGTCCCCCCAAACCACTTAGGCGCCCCTTGCCCGGCCCGGGGGTCCCGTCGGACCCAGACCGGCTAGATTCACCCTTTCTGCGGCCGAACTTCTCCAGCAGGCGACTGGCTTTCTCTCCTAACCGCTCCATGCCCTCGGGTCTGGGGCCTCTCGCCCCCTCCCCGCCTGGCACCCTGCGGCGTCTCGGCGGCCGCTTCTCTTTCCCTGCAGCCGGACTCTGGTTCCCCAGGGGCGCAGGGGAAGCACAGGGGCTCAGCCGGCGGCCTGGATGCCCGGCGCCAGGAATCCCACAGCATCCCCCAGCGGGAGGGGCTGCGTCCCCTCGCGCATCTGGGGCTGAGCGGGGCTAGCAGGGCCTCTGGCCGCGGCTGTCCCGTCCACAGGTCTCTCTGTTCACGCGTCGACTCGCCCGACTGCCCCACTCTCCCCGGCCCCCGCCCCCCTCGCTCTCACGCTAGCCACGGACCGAACTTCTCTCCCAAACTTTTGTCTGCTTGGCCGGATCTACTTTCCTAGGAGGGCGGAGCGCGGCGTGTGTGAGAGGGCCGGGGGCGGCCGCGCAGGAATAGCTGGTGTGCGTGCAGAGAGGGCGCTGGCGCTAACTGCCCTGGATGTGGAGGCCCGCGGACTGTACATGAGAGGCGGGCAGGGGCAGTTGGGGCAGCTGCCCCTACAACACTCAAGAATTGAAACAGGAAAGAGTGTGGAGGTAGGGGACGGGGACTCTTTGTCTGCAGTTGGAATGCGCGGAGGGGCATGGTGGAATGTGGCGCGGCCGGGACCCGACGACAGGAGGGATGTTCTGCGCTAGCACCGTGACTTTGTTCCCAGCATGGGGACTGTGGGAGAGATGGAGAGAGACTGGTACAGAAATAGAGAGACAAGGAGAGAGCCATAAAGAGGAAGACAGAGAGAAAGAAGACAAATGCATAAAGAGGTTCAGAGACATGTACGCAAAGACAGCCCTGAAAAGTGACGAAGCCCACAGAGAGAGGTGGAAGACAGGTAGCGAAAGAAAGGGAGAGCTGGGGAGCAAAGAGGAGTGTGGACGATGCAGTGACCGAAGGGTGCGCAAAGGAAAGGACAAGCTTGACCGGATAGAATGAGAGACAAACAGATAAACTGCAATTAAAAGGCACCACCTTCTGGACCCAAAAGTTTTGTGATGGTGGAGAAATTTTGTGTCTGTAAAAGCAGTGAAAAGGAGTGAGGAAAATGGGACTAATCTCTCCCTTGAGAGGGAGGGAAAGAGATCTAGTGTGTGTGTAGAAGCAGTGAAAAAGAGTGAGGAAAAGGTTTGGGACTAATCTCTACCTTAAGGGTAGGACAGTTAGTTAGAGGGATAGACAGACACCCCCTGGTGTTAGGAAATGAGATTTTTAGCAAACATTTCAGGTGATTATGGAGATTGAAGGCCTGGTTTTAGGGCCAACGAATACCTTCTCCCGTTGGTTTTGGTCGACAGAAGACTGGTGATACGGAGTAAGTATTAAGAGGAAGAAAAGAAATGCCATGTAGAGGATTTGCAAATGAAAAGGAACAGGATGGAAAAGAGACTGATACTGACTATTTTAGAAGGATCAAGAATAAGGAAAAGAAACCCTGGCTGAAGCGGCGGGGCGCGGTGGCTCACGCCTGTAATCCCACTTTGGAAGGCCGAGGCGGGTGGATCACGAGGTCGGGAGTTTGCAAACAGCCTGGCCAGTATGGTGAAACCGCGTCTCTACTAAGAATACAAAAATTAGCTGGCGTGGTGGCACACACCTGTAGTCCCAGCTACTCGGGAGGCTGAGGCAGAAGAATCGCTTGAACCCGGGAGGCGGAGGTTGCAAAGAGCCGAGATTGCGCCACTGCACTCCAGCCTGGGCGACAGAGGGAGATTCTGTCTCAAAAAATTATTTTAAAAAAACAGCCAATTAATTTTGCCCAGACTAGAACATCAGGGGCAAGGGGCGGAGGAAGTAGAATGGAGAAGGAAAATGACTGCTTTGTATTTAGATAGTAAACGAGTATGAAAATTATATGCAAACAAGTTGTGCATATTATTTTCATCTCAACATTTTGAACACCTTTTATAATCTTAGTGTAGCCTTAGGGAATGTGGAAAGAAAGGTTAATATCTTTTGGGAAATTAATTTGTGCCAAGCTATTTGGCTTCTTTGTCCTAGTTGCATTGTCTCCCTGACCTCATCTCCCCTGAGAATCAGCCTCTCTGTTTCCCTGGTCAAGGCCACAGCTTTTCTCTGATCCTGAGGAGAGTTTCCTACCAGACTGGAAGCAGGGAGGACTGAAAGCACTAGGAACAGAGGGGAGCTATCAGATTGCATCTAAAACCTGCTGTGAGCAACATCTTCAGAATTAACCATAATGTGTTCCCTCCTTTCCTGTGTCCAGATGGGGAAGGAGAACCTTGATTCTTCCTTCCAATTGCATCCAAAATAATCACACAACTTCCAAATACTAAGATTTGGAAGCTTTGATCCTTTGGGGTGAGGATGGGAGAGGAAACATCTTATGAAATGCTGAGAAGCCATTAAAGGAGGCCCATGCAAGAGGTGGTGGTAACAATAGGCACAATTGGGATGAATAGCCTGTGTTTTCAAGGGATAACTGGAAGCAGAGATGAGTGAAGGGGAAGAAGTAGAAGACGCATATGCTAATAGGGCATGCTCCAATAGTGCTCATGACCTCAGGTGGCCTCTCCACAGTCTGAACTGGAGCTGGGATCTCCAAAGGCCCTCTTCATCCCCAATACTTTAATTATAATCTGTATACACAGGTGACTCCCTAATCCATATTTCCAGCCCAGTCTTTCTTGGACTTAAAAACTCAACTACTAGCATCTCCACATGGCTGTCTCAGAAGCACCCAATATCCTAAACTGATATCTTCTCTGCCTCATGAAACTGGCTCCTCTAGCATTCTCTGAGTAAATGGCACAATCCTGTTAGCTGCTTAAACTAGAAATCTGAGCATCAACCCTATGTCCTCCTTCTCCCTGAACCTCAAATCCAACCAAGTCCTATCAATCACCAAGTTCTATTAATTCTGCTTCCTAACCATCTTCCAAATCTGTCCTCCCCTCATCACCACTATGTATGTCAAGTCACCATCTTTCCTCTCCTAAACCAATGCAAAAGTCTCCTGGTCAAGGCTTGCTCCCTGCAATCCATCTTATACCCTGAGGTCAAGTGATTTTTCAGTACAGAAGCTTTTCAACTTACAATGGAGTTATGTCTGGATAAACCCATCCACTATAAATTGAAAACATCATAAGGCAGAAGTGCTTCTTCAACGTACAATATTTTCAGCTTAAAATGGGTTTATCTGATGTAACTGCATCATAAGGTGAGGAGCACACCGAATCATTTTGCACCATCGTAAAGTTGAAAAATCCTAAGTCAAACCATCCTAAGTCAAACCAGTGACTTGGGGACTTCCTGTAGGCAAAACCTGTCATTTTATTTCCCTGCTAAAAAAAACTTTCAACGATTTCTCACTGCCCTTGGGCTGAAGTCTGTACTCTGTATTATGAGGTATCACTCTCCAGCCTCTCCTCTAGCATTATCCCTTCCCCAAACCAGTCTGCAGTAGAACTGGACCTTGTCTGTACTCTCTCTTGCCCCTGGACTTTTGCACCTGCTGTTCCCTGTTTGGAACACTCTCTCAGCCTCCCCTTTCCTTCTCCTGATTAACTCTTCCCCAGTTTAGACATTACACCCTCTCAGAAGCCGCCTTTCCACACTGCAAGAGTCAGTTAGCTACCCCTGCTGTATATTGCTATAGTGCACTCCACTCCACCATGGTCACCCTTATCACAGTTCATTTCATTGCCTACTCCACTGCCTGGCTTCCTGACGAGACTAAAAAAATCTCTGTACAGCGTCCAACCTTATCAACAATATATCCATAGCACAGTACCTGACACCTAGTAAAGCAATCAATATTTGTTGTAAGAATGAATAAATATAAAGGCATTTTTGCTTTTCAATACATCCAAAATGCACACCCCTTCTTCAAAATACAGCTTGGCTAACAGGACCAAGAAATAGCTGCAAAGCTGTGTATTTTGCTTGGTCACATAGTGGGAGAGAGGCTGCCAGTGAGACATGGGAACTCTTTAAGC